CCCGCCTACATGGCGTACATGTATGCCGATGTACAGAACATAAATTTCTCCTTTTAAAAAATATGCCTAGCTCTTTTATTTCCAGCAGTCGCCGTTAAAATATAAGAAAGAGAGGGGCCGGCCGCGTAGCAATAAAGCAGAAATGTCGGAGTATCGGTTGGGCGGGGCGGGGAGGAACTGGGCGGATTGGGTGCTTTGAAAAATAACGCGCATCGGCCGCTCATAACCGGCGGTCACGCATAAACGTATTGGAATACAATAACGGCTTCCTTTTATTTAATTCTTTATACTGTTTGCCGGACACTGCGGGAGGAATATCCGCAGTATACCTTTTGCGTCTAGAAATATATTTTAAACTGGTCATCTCAGGTGTCAGGGGGTTATTGTGCCATTTCATATCTTAACTTCTTGAGGGACTGTTGGCAAATAATCGAAGTTTCGAAGTGCTCTCCATCGCAAATGAAATGAAGCGGAATGAGCCTGCCGCCGTCCGCTCGTCCTAGCAGCGCCAGCGGGATTACGCAGGTGAATTAGCATGGAGAAAAAGTGGTGCCTGTAGAATTTATGCGGCCCGCACTCGCAAAACTCAATTTTCTAGATTTTTGCAATGTCGACGGGGAGGCGGACGAGTCGTGTCGCGCTGAGGTTTTCGTTTCGACCGCTCGCCAACCTCTGTGTGCCCGCCCGCGAGCCCCAGCGGCGGCGTCCGCGCTGCCGAGTCCTTGCTCGTAAAGCCGTTTCAGCGGCCGCGATACTTTGACATAGCGAAACTTTTTCTCTGCACCTTGTGCAATATGGTGTGCTACTATCTTATTTCGGTATATCTCATCTAAGGCGGGGGCGGGCTGTTGTGGAAATGGAAAGGCGCAACTGGGTTTCTGAACGACTGCTACGTCGTTTGTCATAGCGGGGGATGCGTTGCGGGCCGTGTGCGTTGTACACCTAAAAGGGGGCAGTCGTCAACGTTTTTTGTCTTGTCTTGTTTATTTTCACTTTATTTTATTTTTTCGAGAGTCCTCGGCGGAGTGTCGGCGCCGCGACACGCACTGATTAGGAGCGCAACACCCCACTGTCATTAATCACACGACGAAAGCTACGCGCGCTCCATCACGCTCTGAGGCATCAGCGCGCACGCACACGTCCTCTCTCTCTCTCTCTCTCTCTCTCTCTCTCTCTCTCTC